GCGGCCTGCGCCCCCGGCCGCTGCGGAAGCGCCTGCCAAGGCAGCCAAGGGCTCGGGGGTCAAGAAGCCCAAGGCCATCCGCAAGCTGCACTTCGAGGATGAGGTGACCACGTCGCCCGTGCTGGGACTGAAGATCAAAGAGGGCCCGGTGGAGGGGCCGCGGGGCCGCTCCGGGGGCGCGGCGAGGCCGCTGGGCGAGTACATCTGCCAGCTGTGCAAGGAGGAGTACGCCGACCCGTTCTCCTTGGCGCAGCACAAATGCTCGCGCATCGTCCGCGTGGAGTACCGCTGCCCCGAGTGCGCCAAGGTCTTCAGTTGCCCGGCGAACCTGGCATCGCACCGCCGCTGGCACAAACCGCGGCCCGCCCCGGCCACCGCCCGCGCGCTGGAGCCCGAACCCAGCGCCAAGGCGGAGGGGCGCGAGGCCACGAGCGGGGGCAGCGACCGCGACACGCCGAGCCCCGGCGGAGTGTCGGAGTCGGGCTCAGAGGACGGGCTCTACGAGTGCCACCACTGCGCCAAGAAGTTCCGCCGCCAGGCCTATCTGCGCAAGCACCTGCTGGCGCACCACCAGGCTCTGCAGGCCAAAGTCTCGCCGCCCGCGCCCTCAGCCGAGGACCTACTGGCCTTATACCCAGGGCCCGACGATAAGGCGCCCCAGGAGGCGGCCGGCGACGGCGAGGCAGATGGCCTGCTAGGCCTAAGTGCGCCCGCTGAGTGCCACCTGTGCCCGGTGTGCGGGGAGACGTTCCCCAGCAAGGGCTCGCAGGAGCGGCACCTGCGCCTGCTGCATGCCGCTCAGGTGTTCCCCTGCAAGTACTGCCCGGCCACCTTCTACAGCTCGCCGGGCCTCACGCGGCATATCAACAAGTGCCACCCATCCGAGAACAGACAGGTGATCCTCCTGCAGGTGCCCGTGCGGCCGGCCTGCTAGAGCGCGCACTCCGCCCCCTGAACTGTGCCTTCGCTTGGAGACCCACAAAGAGAGTGCGCCCTGCCCTGCAGCGCCCGGATCCGCGCCGCCGGCCCTCGCCTCCCAATCACAGTGTCTTCTCCGCTTCTCGCTGTTTGGCGTGATCTTAACCCTGACCCTCTGGTGGTGGTTCCTTTTGGGCCTCCTCTTTTACGTTGTCTCCCCACCTCTCGCCCATGGCACGAGAGCCAGTTAGTTCCCTTCCTGTCCAAGGGCGAGAAGCTGTATGCGTTTGTCTCGTCGTGGTTGTAGCTCCCTTTGGAAGGGGGCGGTGGTTTTTCTTGCTCGTATTCGCTGTGTTCATGGTCTGGAAATGCGGTTTGCTCTTGCCTAACACTGCTCTCTATGTATGTAGCGTACGGGTTATTTTGGGTGAATCTTGAGGAATAAATGCCTTTATATTTCACAGGCTGTAAATTGAATCTCCCACATGATTAGCTTTATTATGGCTTGTGAACTGCTGGAGTCTGGCTTTACATTTTTTTATGTGAACAAATCAAATTGCTTAAAAAAAAGAGTTTTCTTTAGTATAGCCACAAATGCCTTGAACTGTTGTCTGTCTGGGATTGTTTTGGGGGGAGGGAAGCGAATTTCAGAAGATGCTGTAGAAACTGCCTCAATATTTCAAGTAAGGTTTTCTTTGTTGAGGTAGAACTATATGAGTTTCCTCTAAATGTATATGTTGATTTATGAGTAATTGTTATTTATTCTTTATTTATATTAATTATTAAGACTATTATATTATTTGATTGCAGATTTTTTTGATGCGCCTTTTTTTTCCTGCCACTCTTGACATTTCACTGTGCATTTTAGAAAAGAGCCTTTTTCTAAAGGGATCTGCTACAAGTTTTAACTTTTCTATTTATCTGAGTGAATTACAGACAACCTACCATTTTATTCTGCTTGGAGGGCCCCCAGGCCTTTGTATAACGGACAGCTCTTACTTTTAAATGCAATCTCTTTTCTACATACATTATTTTCTTAATTGTTAGCTATTTATAGAAAGCTTCAATAGAACTGTTTTGACTGTATAACTATTTACTATTGAAATAAAGTATTTTCAAAATCAAAGTAAAGTGGACTTATTTCTGCATGTACTGGATTCAGCAAGGACTTAACGTAGAGATTTGGATTTTTTAAAAATGATTTTTAAAGGAAAAAACAAAAACAAAAAATCCACCACCACCTTCACTAGGGTTGTCAATGTTTCTGAATAGAGCTCCCATATGGCCAAAGATAAAATCTTGCTGGGATCCCATGAATACACTGGAAGGTGGAGTTAGAATGAAGGTTGTGCACATATTTTTTTTTAAATGTAGCTAAACCCAACATTCTATCTTTTTAACTAAGGAGTTGTTGAAATGGGAGAAAGACGAGCCTTTCCACACCTGTAACGTGTGACAGTCTCAGAAACCCACAGAGGCAGTTCTGCCCTGCCCTATCGAGTCACCATGAGTTATAATCAGTTTGATGGCAGTGAGTTTGATTTGGTTGTAAGCACATCACTTTGATTTACCAAATCATTCATTTCCTGATACTTGGGGCTCAGTATGATATTCCTCAAATAAAGTAATTGGGTAATTTTTGTTTGCTAGAGATCAGCTAGAAGAAAGCAGAAATTTCAGTCAGGTTCTCAAAGTAAGGGAAGCAAACAAATGCCCATTGGAACTCAACAGAAGTGAAATAACTGGATTTGGTCTGAGGGCTGAGAAAGACTTTTCTAACTAGGTGAGCAACCCATTGTAGGGGGAATGGAACGCTACCTGTTTGGGATATTAGACTTAATATGTAATTACTGTGCTTTCCATTAGAAAGTGCAGAAGAGCACTTCTTTCATTCATTAGTTAATGTTTTGAGTTGATTTCCTCTGCCCTTGAAAAATTTGATGGAAGAAATATGTTCGAAATTACAGTTGTTTATTCCTTTCCTTTTCTGACATGTCCTTACTATGTGAGGACCACTAAATCCTCCACCATTTATCCACCAAAGATTCTCAAAATTTGCCCAATTGAAGTTCTACATCTCAGATGTGTGGTGGGAGTGAGGGTGGGGAGGATCAGTCCGTGAGAATCTTGGGGGATAACATTGACCACAGAGCAATTTTTCAAATTCTGAGTGTAAAGTAAGAGCTTTGGGTGAAAGCAAGTTTAGCAGATTCAGCCTTAAAAAGTTAATCTCTTCACCCCTATTTGTGAATATCTTGGAACAAACTCAAAATAATAATGATGAAGCCGCTACAGGTAAATTGTTGCTAAGACAAACTGTCATCTTCTTTTGTCATTGATGATGCCATATTTTACCATTAGGGAAACTATAGGAAGACAAAGCATACTGTGGACACAATATAAAAGCACAGGAACAAAGCAGCACTTAAAATATTCCAAAAATTTAAACAAAGCCCCTCAAATTTGTAGACTGAAGATTTCCCCAAAGTAACGATAGTATGAAAAAAATTTAACTTTGTGAATTATATGATACATTAAAAATTCTCCGAACTGAAGTTAAGTGTTCTGAAACCCTGATGGCCACACACTATCCAGCCTGTTGCAGGACTGACAGCTTGTCATCTGCACATGGCTCACTGATTTTCCTGTCCCTAAGCAAGCATCCATTTAAGATCCACCTTAAGGAAGGGAAATTGAATTTGGATTTTCACAAATGTGCTCTTTCATCCCCTATGGAAATTTATTTTGGATGACTAAATATACTTTTGCTAAAATATAAACCCAATGTTCATTTATGTGACATATTAAATGGAATTATATAACAAATAGAATATATTGAAGTTGACAAAGCAGGGTACAACAAATAGAAACATTGACCAATTTATTTCAACATCAGGTAATGAGTTAGACTATTGCACAGGAAGGAAATCTGATTCTCTTTCTCTTTCCCTCTCTATCTAGCTACTATGAATATTGAGATAGATAGAAATATAACTATAAATGTATGCAGAGATAAATGTATAGCTATGTGTTTTTGTGAATATCCAGCTGTATATTTATAATATATATCATATATACACACACATATTTAATGCCTCCATGAAGAATGACTTCACAGAGGTTCCTGCTACAGAACACCAAATTCAACTTACCTTCTTCAGAAATATGCAAGGATGATACGGCTACGCTGTGTGTTTTGAAACTGCTCCCACTTTGGAAGGCCATTAACTGCACAGAACCTGTGATCCCAGTGCCGAGAGGGGCTAGGACAAGGGAAATAAAACCAGGTCAAGGAGAGAAGAACCAAAGGAGAAAAGGAATGAGAGTGTTTATTCCGCCTCTTGCCCATTCCACAAGGAACTGTCTGACAGTGGCCCTAGTCTCTAGTCCTTTCTATTTCTGGTAGCAAAGAAAGGTAAACGCTGAGCTAGTAATGAGGGAGTTGGTTGTTCAAACCCACCAGCCTCTCCAGAGGGGAAAGATGAGGCTATCTGCTCCCATAAAGATTTATAGCCTCAGCATCCAATTTAGGGGCCCGTGAGTCAGATGGACAAAACCGACTCCGTGGCAGTGGGTTTGGTTTTGGTTTTGGTTTGA